ATTTACGAAAAACTTAATTATTGCAAAATTGCAAACAGTATTATAAAAACTGCTTATACTATCTGATAGAAGACACTTTTTAGTTTGTATTTATGTTTTTGAAGTTGTATTTTGACTTTTTGTTTAAGAAATATTGTTTAAAAACAAAGTGGTATGTCGGTATCGGACTTTTAATATTAATTAATTAAAAATTAAATAATTTTATAGAATTTATATAATATAAAAAAAGTAAAAGCTGTACATTTCTACATATATCTTTATAAAATATGTGCAATGCAGATTGATATATAAATAATTGATTAAGATTAATGTATTATTAATGTATTACAATTAAAGATTGATGTATAAATGTTTCTGTGTATTATTATCCATTATATATTATTGTGTGTGAATAAAATGTAAAATTTCTAAAAAACTTAATTAATATAATTTTATTATACTGAAGTATATAATTATTCTTCAGTACTGTAAAATTAAATCGATTAAGTTTTTTGAGAAATGTGAATATTCAATTAGAATTAGTAAGAAATACAGGTTAAGTTAGGTCATCCTATAGTAAGTAGTAAGTAGTAGAAAGTAGACCTATAGTCGGCATAATATTGGCTAAAAGTCGACGTAGTCGAAATTAGGTTACGTAATTGTCGGCTTACAGTTGACTCAAAATTGACTTAAAGTTGACTACATAGGCTGACTGATGACCGACTATAGTCAAGACATTTGTCGTCTCTTAGTCGATTAAAAGTTGACATTCAGTCTGACTTTAAAGTCGACTTTAGACATCTTCTGTCGACGGACAGTTAACTAACAGTCGACTTCGTGCTGTGTGGGATCTTCCCCTTGCCGTTCGAACCTCTTTAAGCCCTGGACCGAAAGTTTCCGACGAGCTACGTCCGAGCATAAAGTTAGGTTGTTACAAAATTAATTAAAAAGTAATTAAATATTATAAGGTAAATGTAAAATAAGAAAAAATGAAAAAACTAACTAAATTAATAATGTACAATTATATATGAAGTAAATTTAGAAACACTGTATAGCTAATGTCATGAATTTACCGTTGTATCTGTAGAAAGTTTGTGATTGATCACAATAACGAGACAAAACCATACTTTGCAGCAATTTATATATAATTTTAATTCTATTATAACAATAAATGATTGTCATTATTAAACAATGATTGAATATTATAGCAGTGAACATGGACCGTGCAAGAACGTTCGTAGAAATAAAGTATTTATTTTTAACAGTTTAAGTTGACCAACAATGTCGATCTCTTATACCTTTGAAAAGAATTCATAATGTTTTTTTTTTTAACATTAAAAGTACACGAGTAACGAATTCTTTAAGATAATTTAGATTCTGGTAGCGAACGTTTGCATGGAAACATTAAGGAAGTTCGCCTATTACTTTGCTGTCAAAAATGCAACTGAAATAAATTGTTATTACAGCGATTCCGTATAATATGTAATATTAATGTAATGAACTACGAATACTATCTATGTGTTATATTTTTAGTAAATTATTAGTGTATATAGAATATTAACAAATGTATGAGGTTGTCAACGACTCGAAAAGTCGAGTGTATATTTGACAACGTTGCACTTCGCGATATGACAGTCAGTCACAACAGGGACGAATTCTATATTCTATGAAGTTGGCTTCGTATCAGCTGCGGTGTTGCCAAGTCTCTTACTACTAATGCGATCCGTGAGGTAAAGGTAAACTTTGTGACAATAAAGCTTTAAATCCATACGGTAAAGTCTGATTTTGCTTTTTGTACACAATTGTTGATATTTCACCTGCCAAATCCTAGTTTTTCAAAGTCCTAAGTTGGCCGAGTATGCATAAAACTTATTAATTTAAAGAATCTTTAATGTAACAATATTGTAAGTAAATCTTTTTGTACATTCAGTAAGCATGACAATATTCAATAACAAAGGGATATGTGTATCACTTCAGGAATCGATTTAAAATCTCTTTGAAATAGCGTTAAACACAATGACATAAGGAAAACATGCTATCTTAATACGTGCCTATTTTGATCGTTTGTACAAGGATTTATCATTGGAAGGAATTTTATCGTGAAGGAAGTGATGGTGTTGAGAAACGGAGCCATTCTCTCATTACATTTTGACATGTATACCATGCCATCGAATTTCTTAACAAAATTCGAAAAGGATTGCGTTTTCTGGCTGAGTGCTTATCAACTTGGATTAAAATGGGAAGATGGGATGATTCCGTACAGCATGGTGGAAAAAAACGCCTGATTACAATGGCTGTAATTGTTGTGGAAGAGAATAATGACAATAAGACTGTCGTATATGTTAAAGGACGTGAAAAACATCAATGGATGGCTGATATACTCGATAGCGATGACTTGACCATTGAGACCCTCGATGCTGATTACGAAGATACAGATTCTTTACGAAATCTAAATATTACTAATACTGTGCGATGTGGAAATCATGTTAAGAATTGTGCGTTACAGAATGTATTTAAAATATACAATTGGTGATCGCGCAATGTCAAAAACAATGATATCAAGTTTAAAAAATAAAGAAGATAAAAATAAGAAATTAAAAAATAAAGAAGAATGAGATTTCTTTTTCAAATACATTTTAATTTCTTTCCCCTTTCCCTGTAATCAAGAATCCTTCAATAATGATCACCGTTCAGTAGTAGTTTGATATACCTAGTTAAATAAAGTGTTCGATATGTATTCAATACTAATAGTGGGGATGACTCATTTTCATAGATGACTCATTTCCTTCATGTTAGGTAACTTGGAATTTCTCAAAGAAAAAGAAATGTAATCTTCGTTAATCTTTTTTTTGGTAGTGAAAAAACGGTAGACGAGCAGATATGAAAACAATATATTTATCATGATAGTCTAAACTTTTTTGTTACAAGCGTACATCCCTACTCTACAGCCCCTAAATTCTAGACAGCAATGATTTTTCTTTGTTCTCTCAGTAAACTCGAAGATTTCGGTCGGTTCAAGTCTCTTGTAAAAATCTGAGTTAGTATGGATAACATCGAGGAGTTATTTGACGCTGTCGCATACATACGTGTAAATGCTGATATTTTATTTGAGAATGTCTCATCTTTATACAATAACATAAATGTATCTATCTAACTATGAAGACGTCACTGAGAAGACGCCAAAGAATTTTCGGGTTCAATTTGATATTGGCATTGGCAACAAGGCTCAGTTGATGGACCAATTGTAAGTATAAAGTAATACATTAATGTTGATGCACTGTAAGATCTGTTTTTTTCCCTTAGTAAAATATATTTTGGCGATTACTCTTAAGGTGCTTGCGAATGATAGGTCATCAAACAATAGATGAGACAAATCGCATAAAAGAGCGGCGTTGTGCGCGATAGTCAATTGCGAGATATGACGAATCGAGCGCGATAAGCAGAAATTCGTAGCCGCATTGGAGCACAGTTATACTTTCTCTATTTTTTAGTGTATATTATATCTTTCAGTTCATCGTTAATAAAGATTCGTTATAAATCGTTATGCAATCTTGTTGCTAATAAGATTCTGATATATTTAACTATATAGTCGAACGTTCATGCGGAGAATCGAGTTCGTTCAATTGGTGCCAGTCGTTTTATTATTAATCTCACGATCAGTTTACATATTGTTATTTCAGAAATATGTCTGTTACCGAAATTAGGAAAATTCGTGGGGTCATTGAAGATTTAATAGGTCAGGTGCAGCCGATAGAAGCAGATGCCTCTATTTTGAATGAACGACTTACCGGAAAACGGAAACGGAGATGCTGTAGCGATGATGGTGATGATTGCGATGATGACGTTGATAACCATGATGATAACATATGATGAAATTTTATTAGAATTAATTTAAAAAAAAAAAAGAAGCTTAATCTGTTGTCTTTATATGGTGAATGATGTAGATGATTGTTGTACATAGGTTCGCTATATGAAAAAAAGTAAATGTACTATGTGTTAAAATTATATTCCTCTTAAAATCATTGCTCTCTATCTCTTCATCATTCCTTTTTCATACCTCCATATTGAATTAGTTCATAAAAAGCGCGCTTCACTATTTTTACTGTTTTAAAAATATTTCTTTTATAGTTACCCAGATAGACAGATGCGCATAAATTTTACTGCAACTTTACGTTGTATTCGATCATCAAATCCGTAATAGGTGAGGCGATTGTGACCCCAAATATTGTAGTCATATTTAGTAAATCAGAAAATGAAATACTATGACGCAAATATGATGTAAATATGACAAACAAAAATCTGATTCTTAGTGTCTCATATTTACATCATATTTGCACATCATGATATTTCGTTTTCTGATTTACTAAATGCTGCTGCAATATTTCGGATCTTAATCGGCTCATCTATGAAGCATTGGATGATTGTAAGATAAACGTGAAGTTGCTGTAAAGTATATGTACATTTGTCTACTGAGTATATTTTAACGAAAAAAAAATTTAATTATAATTTAATTTGTTTTTATTTTTTTTAGATTTTATTTTTTATTTTCGGAATAATTATTAAGTTTATTAATTATTTTTCTGTACATACAAATTCTTATAATTATATAACGCAATTATAAATATTCTTGAAAACGCATGGAGTATTGACGGGATTTGAACCTACAATCTTTGGGGTGGTAGCCTACCTACGCTAACGCTGAGCTAATCGCACGCTTGTCTGAACACTTATAAATTTGACATATATTGGATTTTATTTTGTCATTCGTACTGATCATATATGTAATATGCATGTTTATATACGGGTGTCTGATCAAGGTTATTGGAGGTTGTACCTCTTATTTTCATTTTTACGTAGAAATGAATTTTTGTGCAAAAATGAAAATAAGAAAAACAACCTCCAATGACCTTGATCTTGACAAATTTATCCAGGAACAAAGTTATCCATGATTCTGAACAACAAGAGGTTTTAGCCGTCCGTCGGACACCTTGGGTAATGCTAATGCCGGCGGTACTGTAATTTTCAAGCCTTTATAATTCGAAAAGTATATAACTTAATGAAAATGAATTTAATTATAGTGTTTTGGAAAGCTCTCGAGGTTAGCTACAAGAATATGTAATAAAAAATAGGGATTCTACTTAAGAAAAAAAACATTAATGACCTTAACTTGATTTTGACAAGGTCACTCAAGGTCAAGTCCACATTTCCATCATGTGTCCCTCTTCAAACCATGCAACTTTCGATGGAAAAATCAACGCCACACTGCGTGATTTCTGTGGACTTTCGCGCGAATTTTTCATAATCGACATGTTTATTTAAACTTTATAGTATATTTATCTTACTTTATGCGGCATGAAATAAGTAAAAGTTTACAAATCATTTATGCTTACTATGACATCACATCAGGATTACGAATTCTTTCAACAAAATTCGGTATATCAAAATCGACATTTGTTTACCCAAATTTTACAGTATATTTATCTTACTTTATGCGGCATGAAATGAAGAAAAATTTAAAAATTATTTAAGCTTTCTATAGCATCACATGATAATTGCAAATGTGCATCATTATACGATGTATTTCATTTAATTATGTATGATGTAAATATTTCATATAGCAATATCGTAAAACGAATATTATAGATCTGAAGATATATTTTCATACATATGTTTTTGTAATTCTATAACAAAAAATTTAATCATTCAAATAACCTAAATTTTATATTTTCCTTAATATAAACGTTTTCGCTTTTATAATGTCATAAATGATTATAAAATTGTTCTAAATTTTCAGTAAATTAATTTGTGCATATCGTGATCGTCATACAAGTCTATCTGGGTAGTTACTAAGCCGTACCATAAAATAAAAAAGAAATCATAAGATAAATATTATCTATTTAATAAAATTAAATCTTAAAAGAAAAAGAGAGCGCAACGGGAGGAAGAGAGAGCGTGAATATGATGGTAAGTATAGGGTCGCAACGGCTGAGAGAGAGCGTGAATAATAGGGTCGCAACGGGTGGGACAGAGAGAACTGTACCCTACAACTGGTGGGGAGAAAAGATAATAGGTTGGAGAGAGAGAAGAAATGAGCCCCCTTCCATCGGTGACGCGCTTTCCTCTCCCTCTCTCCGTGACGTCATCCCCCTCCCTGTGACGTCATTCCCCGCGCCGCGGGACCCTAACATCTGTGTGCACTCCCCCCGACCCCCTCACACACACTTACATAGCGCATATACGTACACGCACTAACACATAGTGAATTAGAACCGCCGTTACTATTCTACTTACTGATGTTACGTTTGCATGCTAGTGACTTTTCTTTTTTTCGCATGATAACCACTGACTTAAGTATAACATGACACGCCGCCTCCACATGAGACAACATTAAGTCACTACTACGAGAAACCTGCCTTAAGGTAGTCCCCTCCCTATTACGTAAGAATTCCCCCCCCCCGATTACGTGTGAAGTAGGGGCGACGGACGCTCAACCCTTCCAGAAGGAAGCGTCCTTCGCTCTCTCAGTTTCCGGACTCCCAAAGGAGCTGACCTAGCGTCAGAGCTCCCGCCGTGCTATTCTATAAATCGAACACGTGCTAATCCTCTAAAAGTGTTCCTACCTGTAGAGTAATCCTTCTATATCTGAGTAATCCTTCTATATCTGAGTAATCTTTCTATATCTGAGTAATTCTTCAAAATCTTATTATGCCTTAATCTTTAATCTGCGCATTCGGTAAATAAGTACGCGCACCGAAGTTTATAAAAAGCAATAATCATAATTCATGTTAATCTTTGCGTAGTGTCACTACTTTGATGTAAAATTGTGTGCTTCATTGAATAATTATACATATATATGTATATAATATTGCGTTTAATTGCGACTTCCCCATAACCGCACATTCTTCACTCCGCTCCTCTAAATCCTGATGAAGACAGCGTAACGAATCTGGAGTTCCAGCATAAACCACCGATTCACGCCACCATTACTAGGGCTGCAGGAGATCGCCGCTTGTGGTGTCGCTGCGGGGGATCGTCAAGGTAAGAGCGATAAATTACTCATAGCGTCGTTTCCTGCCACGTTGCCTAGCATCCTCGGCCACGTGGAGCACGGGCGCCGCCATCTTGGTTGAGGTGAATCATCGCGTGGTGCCGTCGTGTTACGCGTCTGTATTTCGCGCCATACTGGTGCATGTCCGCCAATCGTACGCATGGACTCATCGAATTAACTTCGTCCTATAATGTCTCGTCGTTATGTGTCCGCGTAACGGAGAACATTACTTAGGGA